TTTTTTTATACAAGCATTTTTTAATATTATTTTAATCATTGTTATTTTCGTTAGTGCTATGATTTTTGTTTATATTAATTATATTAATAATTTAATTATTTTTTATTACTATTGTATATTTATTAATATAACTTATTAATTTTTTCATATTTCATTATTATTTTTATCATTATTACTAGTTTTGTTATATTATAATTTTTTACCATTATTTTTTTATATATGTACGTACATATATATATGCATATATATAACATATATTTATATATATTAATTTTGAAAGTGGCAGTAATTTCATGCTGGTTGACTTCAGTGATAAAGTAGTATCTGAATTCATCGGTAAATCGTTCTACCGTTATATATGAATATATTTTTTTATATAACAGTTTTTTAATATTTTGATCAATACTATTACTTTTATTAATATGTATAATTATTTTTATCAATATTATTATTTTCGTTAAAGCTATGAATTTTATTAATATTTTTTATCAATTTTGTTACATTTATTACTATTGTTATTTTACCATTATTATTATATACATTTATTGGTTCACTTTATCTTTGTTGTTATAATTTTTATACAGATTGTTGTGCATCTATTTTTTTATTAATATTATCCTTGCATTTTTTTTAATTTTTGTAATTATTATACTATTTATGTATTTATTATAAATATTAAAGTTTTCATTCATATTACTAATACTATTGTTTATTACTTATATCAATATCATATGTAATAAACTCTATTTAAATTTGGGATATAGTATAATTAAGATTTACATGTTTATAAAACTTTTTATTATAAGATTTACTTATATTTATTTATAAGATTTACATATTTATAAAACTCTTAAATACTTATACATTAATTAGTAATACTTAAATGTTTAATTTGGAAATTGTTGCCTTGTTGTTTTTTGTCTAAATATCTCCTTTGTTTAAATCGGTTGTGGCTCTGTTCGACGAATTTTTTTATTTCCCTTTCGAAATCGATTCGCCCTTTGATTATAAAAGTATCTATAAAAGATAAAAAATTAGATTTCGTACACATGTATGTATATACATTTCCCAAAAACAAATTATCAAGGCTTACCAAATAAAACATCATGGACCAGTTTTAGCTTTCTTAGGGCCTTTTTTCCACATCTGCCATCCCAGTTAAATTTATAAATTACTTCGTCACAGAAAACTTTTTTCATAACGGGGCCTATGTCACCAGAGGTCCCTTTAAGGGTAAATAAGTATGTTTTCTAAATAAAAAAAGATAAAAATTCAGTTTTGGGCATAGAGTTTAAAATGTTAGTCGTACCATAGCTTCTTCATATTCTGCTGCTTTCAACTTTTCCTCCATATCAAAAATTGATTCAATTGTGGTGAAGGGCATCAAAGAAGCGAACTCGGTGTGCATGTCGTTTTCAGCCTCGCCACTTATGCGACACACTAGCTTGTGAACCCTTTTAATCAAGACTTTGGACTCGCGCATCACCTTGTGTTGAGCCATCACTTCGTGCTTTTCCGGTATCTGAAAAATATTTGAATAAATAATTAATTTGAGATATTTAGTTTATATTGAGATTATTTAGTTTTCAACGAACTAAGCCAATAAAATCTATACACAACGATACACACGAAGCAACCGACTCGGCAACCAACAGAAAATATAAAAATAATTTGATTTTCAGGCGACGGTTGCGGCAACACGAATTTCAATGACCAACAATGCTACACACGATGCAACGGCCGAAGCAACATGCCATGCATTATGCATTATAACAAAATAAATTATTAGTTATCAATTCTTCGTACCCTTTCCTCTAATCTGTCCATCCGCGCCTCGAAATCGTTTTGTTTTTGAAGAATGAGTTCCAGTACCTGCATTAGATAGATAGATACATATGTACATACATTTGTATTTGTCTGAATGAAGTGCCAAATTTACCATCGTTTGAAGTTCTACAAGTTTGTGAAGGGAGAGAAGTAGAGGCTTCAGAAAATTGTTTATTGTAGTCCACAGACAGTTTAAATTTTTTGCGCAGTGCACCCTTTGGTTCTAAAATAAAAATATTTAGTTAACATTTTTAATCCTGATTGGTCACTCTGGGTAAAATTTATCTCAAACATTTTTTTGATATTTTGTATTTGTTTGATGGTTTAAGCAACATATAAAGCCTGTTCCTTTACTCAAAGATTTGTAGGTTTCACATAAATTTTATTAAAGGCGAAATCAGCTTTTCTGTAAAACTTGCTAATCCTGGAGTACGGGAACAGGCTAATAATTTTATGGAGCTGAATTTCACGCAGTGTGACCATTCTGCAATTTTACTGAAGTCAGACCCATTAGGGTTAAGTAACAAATCGCTTACCTCTTAACTCTTTAGGAGTTGATGTTGTCATCATATCGCTTTCAAAAAGATACTCCGTGGCTTCGATTATTTCCTCGCTATCTTCCATCATTTACTTGAAATTGTTTTCATCGTTTCGCATGCAAAAAAAAAAAATAATTAGTAGAGTAAAGATCTAATTACAAAATTCATGAAATAGGTGGTGAAGGATTGGTATAAGAAGATATTTTTCTTTAAGTGGGATGGAAAAATATTTAAATCTAATATCTTCCTGAAAAATTTTAATTTTCTCAAAACTTAGTCTACTTCCAACTAATATACCAAGGTCAGGATACGATTCAAGAGGTTCTTCGAAATAGTTCTCTATTGTTTGAAACGTGTAACCCACTAGCACATCTTTTCCTGATTCTTTTAAAATATTTATGACTTTAAAGGGGCCTTTCGTTTCACTGAAGCAAAAAGAATCCTTTTCCTTTGAGCAATTTATGATAAACGAATCATATGTTGACTCCTTTTTCATTTCTAAATGTTTTCTTTCTTCAATGCGGAAGAAAAGCTGTTGTAAAATATTTGTTGGTTTTTTAATTATTTTTTTTAAAGTTTGAAGGTAATTCTCAAATCTGTAAGCAGAAAAGTCATCCAAGGGACCTATTTCACTAGCGCATGCAGGTAAATGCAACAAACCATGCACGTTAAAACTTATTAAATGATTGCCATATATGTTTCCAAATAAATTAACAAATTCATTTAGCATTTCTTGGACAACATTTGTTTGGCTTTTGTAGGACTTTTTACACGAAAGAATTTTTATACTAACATGTAGTAAACTAAAATGATAAAACAAATCGTCGGGAATAATATCTTTTAACACAAATATTCCGGAATACAATAAAAATTGCCGGAACTCTGTCGATTTCTAATTACTAAATTCATTAAGGTCTCTACAAACTCTCCCGAATTCCGATGGGATCCAGGAAGAAATAAAATTTAATCTTTTGTTAATCTCAGATATATTTGCTCTTTTCATTAAAAGTTGCAAAAGCTTTTTTACCACGCCAAGATCAATAAGGTGCATTGGGTCTAGGGGGAATTGTGAAACCATTTTAAAGCCTGCTGCCTGTAACACATTGTCTTGTCCCTTTGAACTTGAACTATGATGCGCCTGGTCAGATTTGTTTTTGAAAGACAAGTCAGTTCGCAACTTGCCTATCTCTTTTGAAAAGGATACCCGCTTTTCTATATATTTCCCTACCTGGCAACATTTGGGACAACTATTTTTGCCATTATGGCCCTGTACTCCTGAAACAAAAGCTCGCGCTGGTGAGTCACAAATAAATACTCGCACATCAAATTTTTTTAAAGTTGGAAATGAACCAACCTTTAAGCCATTTTGTTTTAAATGAATAACTTCCTCACAAAAATCGTTCATGAAGTCATTTATACTTAAAGGTTTTTGTTTTCCTGAAAAGGAAGCAATTAAAAATGGACTTTCGTTTGAGTAACCAACTATACTACCTAGAATAGGCCACAATACTTTGTTTGAGTTTTTAAATAGCTTTAAACCATCAACTCCTACGTCGATTAAAACTTCATTACAGGATTCTAAAAATTTAAAGGGTTTCGACTCGAAATATGACTGGATGCCTAAATACAAAAATTCGCCGCCCGGAATCATTCGGATATCTTTACATTTTTTAGTGGTTTCGAGAAGTGCTTTTGCCGATAAAGGCAAGTCACAAACACCGATTTTTCTAAGTGTACGCAGAAGATCACTCAGCGCCACTTGTGACACATTATTTTTAATTGCCCACAATTTTATTTCACTGGATTTATCGATACTGGAAGGTTCAGAGGAAGAAGAATCGGACAGACTTTCCGGAGTTGATGTGAAAACTAAACTATCATCCTTGCAAGAAGAACTCTCAAAACTGCTGTGAGGTTCTTCTGCAACTTGCACGCTGCCTTCATCCAAATCTGCCTCGGCAAATTTGGAAATTTTTGAGTAGATCAAGGAGCTACGCTCAAACTCCTTTTTTTCTTTCTCCATGAGTTTATAAAAAGTTTTTCTTTTCATTATTGCTTACCTCAATTTGATTTAGCGCTTCAAATATGTATAAGCAATCAAACTTCCACTGCTGAGTCTCCCTGACCACTTTTAATTCTTTAAAAATAATTAAATACAGGGAAAATTTATTTTTATTGCGATACTTTATTCGCAGCCTCTTTTTTCGCGTGTCAAATGAAATTGAGAAAAATGATGGCTTCCATCAAAAAGTTATACATACATATGATAGGGTTACCAGCTAGTAAAAAAAAAACTATTCAAATATAAGAAGTTTCAAGAAAATTGCGTGAGGTTACTTTTTAATGTAGACCAACTTTAAATCGAAGTGTGCATATATCTAAGAAAATTTTATTTTAAATTAGAAATTTCATTTTAGTCGATTTCTAACTATGGACATAACAAAATAACCAAACAAAATAAAGATTGCAAAGAACATTCACATTAAATTACTTGATTTGAGAATTCGGCAACACTGTTTTGTCTGTTTTGTACAATTCTTCTTCTTCTAAAAATTGTCTTGATTCCACCATCCCTATACAATACACATGTGTGAGTGAATACGATATACAATGAAAATAAAAGAGGCTGATATTGTTTATTCTCTTTTGAGAAACACATCGCATGTATTGTACGTGTATTTGTGATAGCAAAAAATTTTTGCACATGTGTTAGAGACTCGGTCATTGGATTTTTGCAGGGAAGTATCCTAGCTATGAATTAGAAGTTTTAGCGATCATTAGAGCCTTACGTAGATTCCGTGTATACCTATTAGGCATCAAATTTAAGATTGTGATGGATTGTAAAGCGTTTACAATGACCATGCAGAAGAAGGACCTCTGTGTGAGGGTATCACGCTGGGTATTGCTTTTAGAAGAATTTCAGTATACAATCGAACACAGGCCAGGCCGAAGTCTTAAACATGTTGATGCGTTAAGTAGAAATCCGCTTTCGTCATGCTTGATAGTCACGGAGAGTGATGACAGTCTCGTAGCATGGTTAAAGAAACTTCAGCGAGAAGATGTAGTTTTAAAACAGAAAATAAAACAAACTGAAGAAGGGGTATGTAGTGGTTACAGTATTTGGAGAGGACTGCTATGCAAAGACGTTGGAGACGAATCACGCGTAGTAGTTTCAAAAGTGATGCAGACGCAGATTATTCGAAATGCACATGAACGAGGACATTTTTCTGTTGGCAAAACTTTGTCATTGATTCAAAATTTTTATTGGATCCCTTGTTTTCGACAAAAAATAGAGAAGGTAATTGAGAGTTGTGTTTCGTGTATTTTAGCTGAGAGAAAGATGGGAAAGCCGGAAATATTTTTGCATCCAATTGATAAAGGAAGTGCCTTTCACGTTGACCACTTAGGTCCGCTAACTTCAACGAAAAAATCCTATGGCCATGTTTTCGCAGTAATTGAGGCATTTACTAAATTTGTGTCGTTGTATGCCACGAAATCAACAGCCACCGCAGAGGTTATTGAAAAGCTTCAGCGGCAGTCAATTAATTTCGCCAACCCAAGACGCATTGTAAGTGACAGGGGGACAGCTTTAACATCAAAGGAGTTCGCGGCGTATTGTAGTGAAGAAAAGATTCAGCACGTCTTAACAACAACTGGTATTCCCAGGGCAAATGGTCAAATTGAAAGAGTGAACCGAATTTGGTTCCTCTGCTGACGAAACTTTCTGCTCCAAAGCCAGGTGAATGGTATCGACATCTAAATACTGTTCAAAAGATCCATTTAGATTGATGTTTGGAGTTGAAGCGAATACTAAGGATGAGCCGCGGTTGTTGGAAATGCTAGAGCAGGAGTGCATTAGTGCTTTTGATGAGGAAAGAAGTGATCTACGACGTCAGGCGCATGAAAGCATTCAGCATCTTCAGGCTGAGAATAGGCGAAATTTTAATAAAGGTAGAAAGAAAGCATCCCGTTATCGTGATTTGGTCGCTATTCGAAGAACGCAGCAGGCACCAGGATCTAAGTTAGCGCACAAGTTTCTTGGCCCTTATCAAATTGTGAAGTGTTTACGAAATGACCGATATGTTGTACGTCGAATTGGTGAGACTTATGGCCCCAAGCAAACATCTACAGCTGCCGATTCTATGAAGGGATGGACATTTGATGACGACGAAGACCTATTTCGAAGTGATGATGAAGAATTCGTAGAAGAGCGAAACCCGCCTAACTAATGAGGTGACATGCACTCGGGTCGAGTACTTGTTCAGGATGGCCGAATGTGGGTTTATGCAAATATCCCTACTTACATATATACTTTAATATTAAATACTTTAATTGACGATAATTGAGTTAGCGTATGAAATACAAAGAATCATATGTCAAGATTTCTTTTTCGGAAGACAGACGATTTTCAATAGACGAAGTGCACCCTTTTAAATAAAATATTATCTCACATTACTAAAAAATTTCTTATTATAGCTTAAAATTATTGTAACCAATAGAGGCAAACCCACT